AGGTAGAAAATTTCTCTCCAACAACACAGGGTAAAAAATGGCAAGTCATTGTGTTAGTATGCCTGGTGAGATAGGTCTTGAAACTGGCTGGTTGTCAAAAAGAGACAGAGAGATCAATCTGGATCTCTGTAGATGCCAGACGCTTCCTGTTCTTTCATAGCCCAGTAAACATAAATGACTGCCTCTAAATAAATTACATCAGTTTACTAACAATGAAAATCTCTTCTGTTTGTAATGCTATTCGAGTCCTGAAGGTAGCAGGTGCTAGCACCATATGTAGTGTGACACTGCATTATCACGTGTGCTTTGCCCTAGACACACAGGTCTTGGTCTGGACCAAAGGCTTGCTCGGGATTTGTGCAGTGTGAAGAGACCCAGGCCCAGAACTGAGTCTCCCAGTAGCACTGGTACTTCCCAGGAAAATAGAGCGTGAGTTCAGCAGATATGTTGGTCTGAGTGATAGACCAGCTACTGTTTGGTGCCGAGTATTGCCCTGGAGAGGGCGATAACTGGGTGCTACTGGCCTGTCTGTACTCTGAGGAAATTAAGCTCACTAGGCCCAATTCTATTTTTGTATTGCCTGGTGGCTCTGTCTGTGACTTACAACTGTAAATCAATTCCAAGGTAAGGAAATCAAATTTATGGATAAAGCACGGGAGAACTAGGGATCATGGGTCAAGCCACTCACAGCATCAAAGACAAGAAATAGATCAGGCTGCTATCTCAGCACTGGATGCGGCTAGGAAGTGCTCAGCCTGTCCAAGCAGTCTCTTGGTTGCTGCAGCTTTCTTTGTGGAGCTGGGATCCTTCTCCAAGCCATCGGTTGGCATGGCTATCTTGGTCTCAAAGTCTGTGCTGCAGAACTGCTTTGGCAGGACTTGACAGCCTGCTCTTTTTGGGGGCAAGCAGGGCCTTTCACCATGTCACCTGAATCTCATTGCTTCCCACACGAAAGGACACACTGTCCCTGTTCCTTTGCTTACCAGACCTGAAGCTAAAACTTTGCTCCCTTTGTCGTGTGTGTGCCTGTTTTTTTTTTTTTTTTTTTAATCAAATCTTTTGAGGGATTTTTGAAAAAAGTCAGTAATTCCTCACGCAGATCTATGGAAAAAATGACTTTTTCTGCTGCTCGGCTGTCTCATTTGGTATTTGGCCCAGACCTAGGCCTGCTTGGATGACTTGTGACAACCCAAAGCTTGGGACAGCTTTAAGATAAAATGCAACTATCTAGGGGAACACTTGCCCTCCACCCTACCTTGAGTCTAAATTGCCTGTGGCTGTCAGTGAATGCATCCTTTCTGTGTTTTTTATTTTTTGATGATGGTTAATCTGTGCATGCCAGCTGAGACATGGGCTGACATCCTCTGCCCTGGATCAAACCAGAGCTGGAAACAGGCTATTATCAGCCTGGTCTCTGAAACAACTTGTGCCAGCTCCTTCTGAGTTGAAGCCAAGGAACTCTTGAATGAATGGATTTAGAGTAACCAGCGCTTGGATAAAGTCTTCCCAGGGACTGTCAGCACAAAAGCTAAGGGAGGTCCTACAATGCCAGACTAAGTAAGAAAATTCTCTGCAGAAATACACAGTCCTATTGAGGACCCTCCTATGTTCTTGGCCACACTGATGCCATTAGCAATGAGTTTCCTCGTCCCTCCTATGCAGTTAGGAACTGGCAGGGACATTGTGTGTTTTTGTTTGTTGCCTAAAGCCTGCCATAGATCTCTAGCCAGCTTTTGAGTTCAAAATACATTACATGTCAAAACCTGCTTGTTTGAGAAGCAGATGTTTGTGACCTCTGTACTTTGTTTACTTATACTTGAGACCTGATTTCTTTCACAGTTGCTGACCGTTACCTCTGAGATCTGGTGGGGAAATAGGTGCTTAGCAAGCAAGAAAATCAGGTTCTTGTTAACCTGAGGTACCTGGCTTTGCATACAGCAGGGTGCAAAATGTTATTTTAATAACAAGCTTACGAAGTCTTTGGTGTGCTCCCATTGAGATTTCTCTTGATGTAGAGCAGCTGTAAATTCCCTGATGATGCTTGAAGGTTTTTATCAGCACCTGCTTTGGGGAGCAACACAACCCTCCCGTAGGGATCCGCTGTTAGCGTTATATATCAAAGCAGCGGTGTGTGGAATGAATGAGGGACAGGACATACTGTTTGTACTGTGTTAGCGCTTGGGAAGGCCAGACCAAAGGCTGGTTATTGCAGAGCCTAGAGAAAAATGGAATAACAGTGCTACAGCATACTTACTGAATTTACAACCTAATCATAAACCTAGTTAGAAGAAAAAAATGGAGCATGCTCTTCTGTCTGTGTATCTGGAGCTGATGATTTCATTACCAAGCTGATTCCTGGTGTGGGTAAGGCCTTTCAGTGTGAGGCTGAAGCAGGTACTTCTGCACTCGCTTTGGCTCCCAGCTTCAGCTGTTACCCCTGTAGCCGGTCTGTGGGAAAGTAGAGTCTGCACAATGTTTTGGCTGTGAGGTAAACGGGGTTCTTCTGGAGCAGATGCTCATCATGGGCCTATATAGATACATATAAATAAATATATATATATAAAAAATTCAGGCATTACAGCTGAGATGGGTTTTGCTGCAAGCGCCTAACTCTTCTCTTCTAAAATATACTGCTCTCACATATTCCTTGTTAACTCCGAGTTCTAATTATTTTTGAAATGGCAAATCATGATACATAATTTATTGTAAAGACGGCGAAAGCCCTAGCAGTGATGTGGAATACAGAGGGGGAAAAATGGGTCACTTACAAGGGCTCAGTATGTTTTTACAGTATCAACCTGTGAATTTGGAATGCTGAAATTAGAGCTCGAATCACTTCAAAGATTCTTGCTAATAAGAAAATGATTATGCACAATTAAAAAAAAAAGAAACTAAACAGCATTGGAAAAAAGTCACATTAAATGCTCAGTGTGGCTTTTCTTTCTCTGCTTTTTTATTCTGCTCTATCACTTTGCATAATAAATGTCTTGCATAATAATAAACAAGCATCTGGAGAAGTATGTATATTAACAGAATTTTTTAAGTCTCTTTGCTGTGCTCTAGCTGTTTCACTACAACTCCTCTAGGGTTGCTGCACTGTTATTTACATCATCTCAAGGTCGTAGGCTGGAATCGGTCGTGTTGCGTTCTCTGCCCTAATAGGCTTGGGTTGTTAAACCTGCACCAGCCAGGGCCAGTTCTTTAATTCCTGTTTAACCTCTGGTGATGCTGGTTGATTCATTCAGAGGTGCAGTTATGTGTTCTGCTCACACCCCTTTGCAAGCAAGCGCGTGGATGGGGGGATTCCCTTGCTGACGGGCCTCTGTTAGGAACCAGGTCAGTAGAGAGAGCAAAATGTCTCCAAAAGCAACGCGCAGCAGGAGCCCAATTTAATATGCTTTGAATTTGCCTCCAGAGTGTGTGCTCTTCTTCAGTGGTTGTCTAGGGAAGCATTAATTGGGAGGTATAAAGCTCCTCCTGCTCTCTGGCTTAATCATAAATATGATCACAGAGGGAACAAAAT